TTATGTGTGATGCTAGTAACATTGCAGTGGGTGCAGTGCTAGGACAGAGAGTTGATGAGAGGCTACATGTTATATATTATGCCTCTCGCACATTGAATCCCGCACAGCAAAACTACACCACAACAGAGAAGGAGCTTTTGGCTATTGTTTTTGCTTTAGATAAATTCTGTTGTTATTTGTTAGGTACTAAAGTTATTTTTTATTCTGATCATGCAGCTTTACGTTATTTATTGGCAAAAAAGGAAGCTAAGCCTTGCTTGATCCGTTGGATTCTTCTCCTGCAGGAGTTTAACTTGGAGATCAAGGATAAAAAGGGCGCTGAAAACTTAGTGGCTGACCATTTGAGTTGCCTACAGGTTGATGAGGATATTACTCCATTAGGTGATTTCTTTCCTCATGAAAGCTTATTTGAGCTTGATTCAGGATTGCCTTGGTATGCTGACTTAGTTAATTATTTAGTCTCTAAACAATTACCTATTGATTTGAATAAGTACCAAAAAGAAAAATTAAAAAGTGATGCAAAATATTATATTTGGGATGAACCTTATTTGTGGCGTGTATGTTCTGATCAAATTATTAGGAGATGTATTCCTAAAAATGAACAAGCATCTATTTTAGAATTTTGTCATTCTCAAACATGTGGTGGTCATTTTGGACCCAAAAGAACTGCTAGAAAAAGTTTAGAATGTGGGTTTTATTGGCCAGCTATTTTTAAGGATGCTTATTTGTTTTGTAAATCTTGTGATAAATGTCAAAGGATAGGAAATTTATCTAGAAGAGATCAAATGCCTTTATATCCCATTATTATTGTTGAAATATTTGATGTCTGGGGTATAGATTTTATGGGACCATTTCCCAATTCTTTTGGCAACTACTATATTCTTTTGGCATGCGATTATGTGTCTAAATGGGTGGAAGCTAAAGCCACTAAAACTGATGATGCTAAAGTTGTTGCAGATTTTGTGCAGAATAATATTTTTTGTAGGTTTGGCATCCCAAGAGCCCTAATTAGTGACAAAGGAACACACTTCTGCAACAAAGTGGTAGGAGCTTTAGTAAGAAAATATGGAGTTACACATAAGATATCCACTGCCTACCACCCTCAAACCAATGGTCAAGCTGAGGTTTCTAATAGAGAAATAAAACAGATTTTGGAGAAAACTGTGAATCCCTTGAGGAAAGATTGGACTTTGAGGCTACCTGATGCACTATGGGCATATCGAACAGCATATAAGACACCTCTTGGAATGTCTCCGTTCAGACTCGTGTATGGAAAGGCTGCCACTTACCAGTAGAACTCCAACACAAAGCATGGTGGGCAGTAAAACAATGCAATTTTAATATCGATGAGGCAGGAGTTCATAGGAAGTTACAGTTACAGGAATTTTAGGAAATTAGAAATGATTCGTATGAGAATGCTAATATCTAGGAAATGGCATGACAACATGATATCCAGGAAATCATTCTGTGAAGGCCAAAAGGTGTTATTGTTCTATTCAAGATTGAAATTGTTTCCTGGTAAGCTTCGCTCTCATTGGACGGGGCCTTTTGAGGTGGTGAAGATTTATCCACATGGTGCTATAGAAATCAAGGATCCTAAGACCTCCAAAATCATCAAGGTTAATGGACACCGCTTGAAGCCATACTATGAAGGCTTCTCAGCTCATCTGGTGGAATCGGAGGACTTGTTTGATCCTGCCTACAATAAATGATTTGCTAGCTCTTATGTCGAGCGAACGACGTTAAACAAAAGCGCTTTTTGGGAGGCAACCCAATTATGATATATCATATCTCTCTAATTCATTTTTTTAAGTTCTCATTTTTTGTTATTATTATTCTTTGATTTTTTTTTTCAGGAATTGAATAAAGCCACATACTTATACTGTTTATGAGTGTGTAGAAACCAGAAAGAAATCCAAGTTGAAGAAAAAAAATAAATTCCAAAGCTGTGCTGAAGTGGATCAACAGTTTTCAGGGAAGTTATTACTGCTTATTTTCACATTTCTAATATTATTCCCTTATCACCCTCACTCCCATGGTTCTACATCTTTTTGGTATTTATCTTTTCATGATATGTGTAATATGATTGCAATCCCTGCGCAATTATTTTATTTTTGGCATATATTGAGGACAATATATGAGTTAAGTGTGGGGGGGTGGTTATGCATGTTTCAAGCCTTTTATCTTGAGGAGACAAAGGTACGCATCCCCTTACTTATTCATTGGATCCTAGATTGCTGAAAAATAGGTCAAAATGATGATAGTTGCTGAATTTTTGATGATTGAACTCTACCCCTTTTATTCTGATTGTACATTTTTGGGATGAATACACATATAATGACTTAAAACGGCCCCTGATTCCTCTCTTTGTCTTGAATGTTTGTCACTACAAATGCTGATTTTAGTAAAGGGGGCTATGAACATGTTGCTTTTCTGCATTCATCACATCTAGGAGGCCTTATATGCATAAAAAACTGCAAAAAACTGTCCACTTAAGCACATTTAGGGGCTGAATTGTGAGTTTTTAAACTAGGCCAGATTGGATTGCATCTCTCTCCTTGATATTCTGGATATTTTGAAGATGCATTAATACCTTAAAGGTTTCATACCTGCTTGCTAGAATTTTAGAAAAATCTGCATTTTAGATGTGATTTGGTCATAAAGTATAAAAAAAGTATAAAAAAATTTGAAGTTTTTAAAAGAAAACTTAGGTTAAAGGAAAAAAAGTAAGCATCTCAAGAGAAATTAGGAATCATAATGGTTTCTCTTTATCTTTTAGCACTCTAAATGTTGCATTAGAACATTAAATTTAAATTAAAGTTGTGACAGATAGGGTTAAGTGTTTTAAAAATGAGTTTGCTACTTTAAAGTTTAAATCACAGCTTTTGAGTCATAGCTAATCCGAACCTATTTTCATTTAATCTCACACCTTTCAATTAGCTAAGTTCAACATGCACAATTTATTTAGAAGTGTGTGGAGCAGTTTTTTCTAATTTTTTTTTTGTCCTAAGTTGCTTTTCAAGTAAAGTTAATCTTTTGGAAATCTCTTTTCTTACCTAAATTTTGGTTATCTACATATTATCAAGATGCTGAAATGAATATTTGTTTATACTGGAACACCATCTTAGGTTGGCATGGGTGGCACGGCACCTTTGTCCCCTTAAGCAACAGATCCGAAAAGGAAGTGATGTTGTGTATGGAGAAAACCTGAGTTGGAAGAGCAAACCCCGTTTTGGGCCGTACGAATCTCGCCCATAACTAGTTTAAAATAAAAAGAACCGACGCCATTGATCCAAAAAAAAGTGCAATAAATGGATAGGGAAAAAAGAAGAGAAAATAAATAAATGAGTAAAAATGTTGTTTGAGCACTCGAGTTGATACCCTCGAAATACTTCGTTATTTAGGTCCTGGGCTATCTGGAATGGGTCTAGGGTAGCCTGCTTGAGACTCGCTACACGGGTCAACTCAAACAACTAAAAGAAAATTTGATATTAAAGTAAAGCAATAATTAAAAGTTTCCAGATTTCAGGAAAGAAAATAAATTTTCCTAAACTTTTCTTTACTTGATTGTTTCTTAGGATTTTTAACTACTTTTTGCTGCTCTATTTATTTCTTCTAAATTGTTCTTAATGACCTTGGTTAGTTCAAAGTTTTGACATCAAATAAAAAAAGTTTCTACTTAGCACTGAAGTGAAAGAAGGGCTTTAAAGTTTAAAGTAGCAAGCTGATTTTTAAGGTGTTTGCTCTGTTTGGGACAATTTTAATCTCTAGTTAACGTTTTAAGAAACACCTTAGATTGTTGGAGATAAAGAAATTGTTGTGAATCCTGATTTTAACACAAAGAAAAAAGAGACAAATGAATGTGAAAATATAATTTGCATGAGGGCGCGCAAAAGGTTAAGTGTGGGGGCATTTGATAAGTCGTCAAATCTCATATTTTATTCGCCCATATTAGGCCTTTTTAGTATATCCCAAATGCATTTTATACAAATTTAATCACTATTATGTTTATATAGCAATTTAGGCCAATATTTATATTTTGATCATAAATTGCATTCATTTGAGTATTCTTTTACTTCACCATTTTTATTATCTCATTTACCTTGACGTAGGTCTTAAAAGTTGTTTTGCGAAGTATAAAAAGCTCGGTGAAGATGTGATAAGTCCGTTTCGTTCTTATCATTTACATCATATTCTAAACGTTATTGCACGTAAATAGTATTTAATCATCTCATAAAATGTGTTTTCAATGAATAAAACTCTCATTTTCGTTCTAAGAGTCATGAAAAGGGATTCCACAAGAAATTATCATAAATCATCCATTTTATGTTCAAATACTTGAGAAAAGGGAATAAATCATCAAGGGATCAAGATTCGGGCTTGAATGAGCTTCCGGGAGGTCAAAAACAGTGTTCGGGACCAAAACGGAGCGAAATTGGGCCAAAATCACGAAACAGCCGCAAAGCCCAACAGACCAAGGCCTCAAGGCGTCCAACTTGGACGCTCAGCCAAGTTGGACGCTTGGGAGTTGGACGCTTTGGCTTAATTGCAGCCCAAGAATGACACGTGGCAAAATCTGGTTGGCCGGGACAGCTCAGGCGTCCAGATCTGGACGCTTGGACTTGGACGCCTTGGATTCGTTCCTATAAATACAGCACGATTCTTCTCATTTTTATCATCCCATTCCATCCCAACATCGGGGTTTACACATCCCGTCTCCATTTTTAGCTTGTATATTAGTTTTAGTAGTAGTTTTGATGTTATATCTCAGCTCCGGGTTTGACGGTATTAAGTTCAAACTCAAGAAACAAAGCCTTTTGTTTTCAGGATAAGAGGATAATCGATTGTCTATCTTAGATAATCGATTGTCAGATGGTGCAGTTTCTTGGATTTTCAGGAGGGATTGATAGTCGATTATTGGTATGGTGATAATCGATTATTTAGGGCTGCAGAGAAGAATGATAGTCGATTATCTGGAAAGGATAATCGATTATTGATCCCTGCGGGTGTTTCAAAAGAGGACTGATAATCGATTGTTATCAACGATAATCGATTATTTTGACAGATTTCTGGGAACGAAATGATGGTGTTTGTGTGGGGAATGGCTGGAAAAATACGGGGATGATGAAGGAGTTCTTTTGGGTATTTTCAATGGAAGAAAAGAGTAAGATTAAGAGGAGAAATGGGGAGGTATGAAATGGGAGAGAATCAGGGATGGATAAACCAAGTTGGTGTTTAAGAGATATTACACACTCTTATCCTAACTTGGGGTTTGAATCTAGAATTTAATTAAGATATGACACACTTAATCAAATATCTAAAACCTAAAACTCACACTTAAGATAACCACTCTTAAGATATAGAATTAGGAATTTGGCTAAAATAGCATCACACTATTTTAATAATACTCAAAGAGTAAATGGTTTTCAATATTCAAAGATTGTTTTACAATGGCCATAAGGCCTGAGTTATATAGGCAGGGGAAGGGGGAGATAATTCACAATACATTGAATGTAAGCTTAGGGAAGCTTCCTTGCAACTATCTCTTCCAAGGCATGGGGTATTGGCCACTCATTCNACTAGGGAGAATAGGGAAGAACCGCAGGTGGATTTCTTCTTCAACTTAACCCAAGAGTTTTGTCAATCATTTTAATTTGGAGTAGTTCTAATTAATTTGAGAATATGGGTTTGATCAATTCGTTTTTAAAAACCATAAAGTATTTTTCAAAATCAGTTTAAGTTAATTATTATCGTTTACGTTTTTATAAAGTTTAAAGTGTTTTTCTTAGTTTTGTGTTAGTGTTGTCCTTGTGTGTCTGCATCCTTGTTCTAAGTGGCTGCTCTGGTTGAGTTTCTTTGCCCATCTTATCCTTTTTATTTATTTTTATCTTTCCAATTTATCTTTTAAAACCCCCCGAATAGGTAGCTCTTTTATTAGTTGTTTTTAAATGAAAAAAAAATGTAAAACTTAAGTAATTGATTTTCATAAAGTAAAGAATATCTTTCTCCGTGGGATCGACTCTTATTTACCCTAGCTATAAACTATAAATTTAAAATTAAAAAGGGGATAAGAAAAAGAATTAATTTGTAGGCACTACGACACGCCTAACTAATTTTGGCGCCGTTGTCGGGGAAGGATTACTTTTTTTTTAATGAGAACCAATTTGCTTGAGTATTTAAAAAAAAAATCAAAAAATCTTAAAAAAACTTTTTGTTTACATTCTGTTTCTCTTACTTCTTCTAGTTAGAAGTAGTACTTGCATTTTTTTTTGCCTCCTGTTGGGTCAATTTCTTAGAGTTAGCAACAGTTTTGGTCAAGTTATAAACTTTATGATGCAAATTAATGTCTTAGGATGTTTTGCTTGTAAAATCTGATCTGGACAGCGTTAAAAGAAGTCCAGACTAAAATAAGAGAGCCCCTGGACTTTATATGGCCTTTTTAATGAATATCATGAATGGTTTTGGAAAGTTGCTTCTCTTAAGTAAGACGAGGTTCATTTTTAGATGCTCTAAGGAACTTATTTGTCATTTTCTCTACAAGAATAAAACGAAAAGAGCTTGGATACTAAATGATAAAAGTGTTGAACTAAAACCAAATAAAAAATCAGCCTTTTTTGCAGCACTTAATCAAGTGATAAAGATAAGTTTTAAGAATTCTAATACCGTTCTTGTTTCAAGTTGCAGCTTTGTGTACTTTGCATGTTGTTAAGGAGTGGAAGAGTTATTGGAGAAACAATTGAGCTAGGTTACAATCACCAGGTAAGTGTGGCTGGACTTGACTTTTTTAATTTCCAAACGTGTGAAGCTGTGCTTGAGTCTGGTTGTGAAGTTTCCAACGTGTTTGTTGCTGATTCTGAATCTGATTTTGAGACAATATTTGGAAACCTTTTTGAAGTCAAACCTGAACAAAAAATGGCTACTTTGAAAGAACTTGCTGCCCCTGATTTAAATGTTCAACCTTTGGCTATTACTTACATTGAATTGGAAAAACCTTTAAAGCTGAATTCTGGGTTTATAAATCTTCTGCCTAAGTTTCATGGTCTTCCTGGAGAGGATCCCTTCAGACACATCTCTGAATTTCTGATTACATGCGGTGCTATGGTGCCTGAAGGGGTCGCTCAAGACCAAATTAGGTTGAGAGCTTTTCCTTTTTCCTTATGTGATAAAGCTAAAGATTGGTTATATTATATGCGTGCTGGTTCTTTTACAACATGGAATGCTTTACATAAGGCTTTCTTAGAGAAATACTTCCCAGCCTCTAGGATAGGGTCTATTAGGAAGGATATCTGTGGGGTCAAACAAATGATAGGTGAAAATTTTTCTGAATATTGGGAGAGATTTAACAAGCTTTGTGCTTCATGCCCACAACATCAAATTTTTGAACAATTGTTGATTCAATATTTTTATGAAGGACTCCTCCCCACTGATAGGAATAATGTTGATGCTGCAAGTGGAGGAGCCCTTGTTAACAAAACCCATACTCAAGCTAGGGAGCTTTTTAACTTGATTGCTCAAAACACCCAACAATTTGGAACAAGAGAGACACTGGTTAAAAAGGTCAATGAACTTGAAAGTAAATCAATTGAACAAAAGCTTTCTGAACTCACCTTTATGATGTCAAAACTTGTTTCTGGGGGTGGGAATGTTAGGGGAATCCATTGTGGAGTGTGTTGTCTAGAAGGGCATGCAAGTGATGCTTGTCCAACCCTTCAAAATCCTGAAGTCAATGCTGTTTTTTATAATAATCAACAAAGAAAATATGATCCATATTCAAATTCTTATAATGAGGGCTGGAAGGATCATCCAAATCTCAGATATGGCCCTCCTCAAAACAATACTCAGAATTTTAATCAAGCAAATAGGGGAAATCTGAATTTAAATCATCAACCTAGCCAAGATAGAAGTGCCCAGATGCTTGAACAAATTCTCAAGAAAATGGATGACAAGTTTTCAAGTTTTGATTCAACTCTTAAACAAGTTCAAGAAAAACAAACAGCTACTGATGTGATAATAAGCAACTTGCAGGCTCAAATAAATCAAAGAATCCCTTCTCAGCCTTTTCCAAATCCAAAAGAAAATATAAGTGCTGTGGTTTTAAGGAATAAGAAACAATTGCCTGAACCTAAGGGTAGGGATAGGTTTGAGAGTGAGAAAGAAGTACCTAAAGTTGTGAATCTTGAGTTAGATGAGGCTACTGTTCCAAACTGCAGTTCTCATGGGGCTGAAACAGTGGGAGAAACACCTGGAAATGACACCACAGACCAAGGGGAAAGGGTAGAAGACATGGTCAGACCTAAAGCTCCCTTCCCGAGTAAGTTCCTTAGCCAAAAATCTAGGAATAAAGACTTAGATCATGAGCTTTTAGATACCTTTAAGAAGGTAGAGATCAATTTGCCCCTCTTAGAAGCCATCAAACAAGTGCCTAAATATGCAAAATTCTTAAAAGAGCTGTGCACTAATAAGAAAAGACTTTCGGGGAATGAAAAAATCCAAATGAGCGAAAATGTTAGTGCTGTTTTTCAAAATAAAGTGCCTCAAAAATGCAAAGATCCTGGAGTTTTTTCTATACCTTGTCAAATAGGGAGTCTTAAATTTGATAGGGCAATGCTTGATTTAGGTTCTTCTATAAATGTAATGCCAAAAGATGTTTTTGAACAACTACACATAGGAGATCTTAAGAGAACAGGAGTGGTAATCCAATTGGCAGATAGAAGTTACACTTATCCTGAAGGGATTTTGGAAGATGTTTTAGTCCAAGTAAATGATTTTGTTTTCCCTGCTGATTTCTATATTCTGGATATGGGAACAGATAAAACCGACATTCCCATCCTCTTGGGAAGACCATTTTTGAAAACTGCAAGAGCTAAAATCGATGTCCACGGTGGGACTTTAACAATGGAATTTGATGGAGAAATAATAAACTTTAATCTTTTTCAAGCAATCAAGTATCCAGATGAAGGTGACCAAGTTTTTTCAATAAATCTGATTGACGAGTTAGTCGAAGAGGTTTTTATTTTAAATAAGGAGGATGAACTTTTAACTGTTTTGACTGAGAGTCTTGATCCTATTTTTCTTCAAAATCATGGTTTTA